GTGTGTGAGTAATGAATCAGTAATTTTTCGGTATCAATGTAACCGAGTAGATCCGTAGCAAGCAGCGTATCAAGCATTCCACAACCAAGCAATAATGAATGCCGTTGCCATAAATAATTTGCATAATCAGATACAGTCGAATATCAGTCCATTAAGCAATTGCAACAATGACGAACATTTTGCTGATCGCATTGAGCGATCGGCAAATCAACCGTTCAGTGTCCAAACAACAATCCAAACCAGTGGTAATAAAGATAGTAGTAATAATATACAAATAATGATAGTGGCACTTCAGTTCATACGTGAGCTTCCGTGATTCGAAATTAACTCGCCTTTTAAAGACGTCACTGGGAGGTAATTCAAAGACGTTGATCATCTGTACTGCATCACCAGTTGCACTCACCGAAACTTCGCAAGCACTTAAGGTTTGTGACTGGGTTTGGTATGATTGTTATGAATTCATTGTTTTAGTTTATATATCTGTATACATACCATTTCAGTTTGCATCTCGAGCCAAACGCGTGAAGAATAAACCGATGAAGAATAAAATGACAGATGACGCTCTTCTTTCCAAATATCTTCGTACTATTGAGGAGCTTCGACGACAACTCGAGGTTCATTACACTGTCTATTTTTGTCGTTGTTTTTGACTGTTATGTTTGGGGTTTATTATCATTTATTGCATATTCTCATAAAAGGGTCATTTGCTTGTTATTAATCATCAACGTATCTTTTTGTTCAAATGATAAATGCTGATTAACATAATAAACTGATTGGTGTTAAACACAGGAGTTTGGTATATGTACTTCATCTTGTTTATACGATAGCATCCGGCCGTTTATGCAGATAAATGATTTGGTATCATATGGCATGCTATCATTGCATGTGCATATAGATTACAGGTGGATGTATATTTGTGTCAAATTACAGGAGAACCAAAGAGTAGAGCATCATGAGCGTGATCTCGAAGCACAAAATGAGCAGTTGAATGCGGAGGTGAGACAGTTGAGAGGTTGTATTCTTAGTGGGCAGCATCAACAGCAGCAACGAGTATTATCCGTTGTTGATGAAAACAAGGTTCATTTCTTGAATATCTCTTACCATATATGATAATCGTATGCTTTTATAGAATGTCAATTTCTTCTGACGGCGTATTGCTGATAGTAAATGCTTCAAAAAACAATTAAATTGAACTGTAACAGATGAACAACCAAAAACTTCGTTCTTTGAACGTTTATTTATTTGAGTGGCGTCGAGCTAGAAGACAGACATGGGGCGGTGGTGCTCGAGCCGCTTATCGAATGAGACTTTCACCCACGTTCGGACGACTAAACAACTACCACAAGGTTTTCAGTTTAAAGTGTTGCAGTTTTCTTTGTACAAATAATGCTTCTTAGTTTACGCGCATTTTATAACGCAAGAATGCTTTGACTTGGTTCGAAACACTCGTCATAGATCTCTTGTTATAACTCGTTAAGTAATTAAAGATTATGTTGATTGAACGTGATGGAATGCAAACTGAGGAGAGGAGTTTACGAATTATCGGTGAAATGAAAGCCTGAAATAATATTGGCACTGAATGAACCAATTGCAGAATATAATCGGATCACCAATACAGGAAGAAACGACATCGTGTACTAGTGCTCGCTCATCGATTGATAACGCGGAAAATGAGTGTGTAAACAAGATGAATGTGTCAACTTGTAATGAATTGGTTGAGAATGCGTCACGAAGTAATCTTACTCAGTACGACACATCACAAGTGGGTGATGTATCGAGAAAGAGCGATGATTCCATGCAAAGAACATATGAATCGTCAGCACTACCCGACAATGCCAAGAAAGCATTAGAAAACTACAAAATGACCAATAAATTTCCACTGTCGTCATTGGTTGCAGTGAGTGATGAGCCATTGGCAACAGTTGATCACTTGGATACTGCGTTATCGTTGAGCAGTGACGGCCTTGTAACTGCAACACTCTTGCACTCTCCTAATACGAACCGATCCGCTGTAGACTGCAGCACAAATACACAAGAGTTTTTTGCGAATGGAATCAATTCATCTACTGATAAAATTAATCGGGCTGATGCAGTACTCGCTAATAGTGAAACTGATAACTCATTGTCTAATAATAGCAGTGAGGATGATCGAAAAAGTGATAAACCAGCTTGTTGGGATACTGCGAACGATCAGACTAAAAATACAAATCTTTCTGACGGATTACAACAGTCGAGGACAGTTCAGTGTGCAGGTGAAGAAAAAAATGAAGACATTACATTGAGAATCACTGAATCGTGTTCGAAAGAGGTCAGTTGTATGCGTATTATCTAATGAGTGTTGTTGAATGATAATAATTCAGAGTATTGGTGGAAGAATGGTCTGAGTGTGAATAAGTATAATATAATCATTTGTATGAATATGTATTAATGTGATACATATTTGTATTTAAATGAACCATTTTTAGAATATAACTGAATGTGCAGATGATGACGATGAAGAGGCTCTTACAGCAATCAGCAAACAAACAGATGGTGAAACAAAAATGAATATTCGATATTCAGACGATATTTCTCTTCATGAAACTTCTGTTATTGCATTTAGTACTTGTCAAGTAAGTGAGCTTATCAGTATTAATACCATTACCTCTAATATAGTATGATGTTCGCAAGGTTGGAAAACGTGGGAGGGACTCCGTTCCTCTGCCACAAAAGCAAAGGCCCCGTAGGGGAGTCTTCCCTGATTCAAATTCTCTCCTTCCTCCGCTTTGCGATCCCTCTTTCCCTAACAAGTACTTATAAATCTGATGAAAAATAAATGTGATCAATAATGGTTCAATGAGCATCTGCGTGATGCTGTTGCCGTACTCTTTTTTATTATGGTATGATAGTAAGTGGTATCGAGCTGATTGATGACAAAACTGTTACGGTATCATATTAAGTTATAACGGCGCTCAAAATGCATGTTAGATCAATGATGGTATGTTGTGAGTTGGTTGACAGTGTTTGAGGATATGAATTGCTTTGAGCACATTGTTGTTGATTATAGCAAATATCAGTGGATGAATTACGAGACGAATTAAATAGAGAACGATCAGAAAGAGAAAAAGAACGGAATGAATGGCGTGGAAAGGTGGCTGAACTTGAAAGTAGGTTGCAGTCGATGAGAAGGGTGGAATTTGAAGATGGCGATAAATCGAGTAATTGTCCAGAAAACGACGAGAATAGTCATCTTCGTGACGTGAGTATCACTTCATTGTTATCAGATTAAAAAATAAAGTGGTTTATTAATTTTGTTGTAGATATTGATGGAAGGTAAACGAAAATACGATGAATTGAAGAAGAAGAAGACTGAATTGGAAAAATGCAATGAGTGGCTAAAGAATGAGATTGAGTTGTTAGAAAAGCGATGTGACGAAGCTGATGAAAACGAACAACAGCTGCGCCATGAGATTGCTCTCGTTGATTCCGAAGTTAGTCCACTCTCTCTGCACTCAAGCCTTGTTTATCGATTCTCTGCAACTCAACATAACTATCCACTCACCTTTTCGATGCATTTTTGCACGTTCCACAGACATGGTCTTCACAAACGGACATTTCTATTTATTTGAGTAAATTCGTATTCGTTGAATGTTGATGAATCAGCTAAGTGTGAGTATGTGATAACATACAGTTAGCTGCGTTTGAACATTTAGATGGTATGAAAGAACGTTTAGATATATGTATTACATCATGAATAGATAGATACTTGAATGAACTGTTTAGAGACAGAAGTTATTGGAAGAATTGCACAAGGAATTAGGAAGAAGGAAAAAAGAATCAGAAGCATCGGGTAATGTTCTGGAACGAGAAGTTGAGTTGGAGTGTTTGCGTAATGAAAAGAAACAATTTGAACAATTGTTAGTTAATTCGTTCCGTATCATATTCACATGTTTTGCGATCCATTGATGAACTCGTCTACTCATAAATATACATTTTGTTTCACATTATCGTGTGTGCTATTTATGAGACTATATATTTTCTTTGACTCAACTGATTTTGAAGCCAACAGTCCAGTAACTATTACCTACTTCAATTATATGATTAGTTCGTTTCGCACTGAGCGAATCCTACCAATAATTGGTCATATTCCTAACGATAATCACTATAAGCTGTCTGCCAGTGGACAGTTGTGACCTTGGCGTTTATGTTTAATCCTTTTCATGTTATTATTAATATCCAGTTATTTGTTTCAGTATGAAAAAGTTTCAAAGAGAGTTATCAAATCGAGATAAGAAGATAAGTGCACTGCAATGTGAACTGAGAAGAGTGACGAACACGAACAATGCAGGTATGTCTCATAAATACACTCTATTAAAGTTGCTCGACTGAAATATTAAATTGGGTATTTGTGGGGAGAGTCTTCTTAAGTCTGATATAATATATAAGTATAAGTGGAAGGTAAGTGATATTCATTCCTTGTGATTGGTGGATTTAAGTGATGTACTCCCATATTTTGGAACTTGTTGAGATATCTAGTTAGATATACTATATGTCCGATACGTGGAACAAGGATAACATAAATGCTAAACTGCTGCAAGGAATGAATCACTTGCAGAAGATATATCATTGTCGATGACAGAAAAAGACGGTCAGGGACTGTTACCTACGCTATCAGAGAATACTGTTGCTGCTGTCGGCATTCATACTCCCACAGCAGTTTGTAACGCACCGAACCCATCAAGCATTCCTCCGTCCGCTCCGATTAAACAAGCAGCATTAGCATCTGCATCTGTATTCAGCAATTCGTTCAAGATCAATGGCAACGATTCTGTGAGTGATGTTCCTGACGTGCCGACTGAATGCAATCAACAATAATCGTTATTTGGCTCCAGTGATCTCTTTCTTGTTTGTTCTCATTCTGCGTGATTTTGCCTTCGTCATTGTACAGTCATTGTTTATATTGTTTAGCTGGATGTTTGAGAATCCTTTCGTCATTGTCTTCGAGTGTTGCTGAGAATTTCAATTTGGTTACGTTCGATTCATTCGTTTTCACTTCTCAGTTCAGTACTGCTGCGATACAGATTGATTGTAGCACCCAGAAATATTGCCACTTCGACGTTCGGTTCGTCAGTTATAAAGAAATGAACATCTTTTGCGGTTGATCCGTTAATATTCAAATTGGAATGATCTCATTCCTAAATTGTTTGTTTACCGATTATCTTGTTATATCCAAACTTGATATTCAATGAAAGGATGTGCAGAAATAATTTATGTTTTGAGAAAGGATTTGAATAATTGTGAACATGAATTTGAGTAATTGTGAACATACGTGTTGTTTGCAGTGATAATTGTAATAAATGATAACATTCCATCTGTTATTAGTAACTGAAATAATAGCACCATCTACTTTTACACCAATATATATATTGGAGTAGGAAAGTAGAAACGAGCAATAAAATTGTACAGTCTTTAACCGTAAGAGGAAAAGTGAAATGAAATCATGACTCCAGAGGCAAATTTCATCTGAACACTGATAATAATAACCATATTACGGTTTTACAAGTTTGCATATAACTTGAATGAGTATAAAACAGAAAGCTGGAAACGATCTGACCGAAATTATAAGTTTTTGTATTCCACCGATTTCATCAACACTCATACCTACGCTTAAATTTTTCATGTTGTCACATTCTGTTTCTCTCCCCTAATCGAATGCCGAATTTTAACCGTCGAATTTAACACCAGCACTAGGTATGCTCATCAAAAAACATGTTTTAATTCTTCGCTTCATTTCACAAACAATAAACAATAAGATTAACCGAACGAACATCAGTTAATAATAACGATAAGTTTAAAGTATTAAATATATTGTGCGTGGTAATCAATATAATATTCAAAATATTTAAATTGTATGTGATTTAGCGTTCGAAGCATTCAGGGACTCCTCAGTCCATGCTAGTACGCGAGAATACAATTTGCAAAAATTTTTTGAATATGGCAACGCATACTACCTAAAGTAGAGTTTGCAATGGTCAGTGCAGCTAAGTGAACCAATGTGCGATAAAATGTGAATTGGGCAGGCAGACCCATGCTCATTCTGTAATTTATAAGTTCTGCATCGACTTTTTATTGCCAGAAATGTTGGCGCTGGTGAACGATGATTGCAACTGAACTTTATCGGTCGTAAACTTGATGAACGTATACAATTTTTTGAAACCGGAGAGATGCTGAAGTGAGGGAGGACAACCTATTTGAGGGAATAATCCAATTTGCAATCGATCACAAAGAGTGTAATATTGAAAACAATTGAATGTTCACAAGGTCACGAAGTTCTTCCAGAAGTTCGTCAGAATTCTTCCAAGATCTGCTCCACTAATATGATGAGAGGGAGAACGTGCCAGTTTTAATCACACACTGCTCTTGAACTCCTGCAAAAATAAGTGAAAAAAGCATGATGGCTAAGAATGGAGCATTACGGTTCAAAAATAATCTGGATTCAGTCACTACACTGTAACCGGAAGGATTATAGAAATCAACAACATTTATGAACGACGATTATTTTCATTGCACTAATTGTAAGTATATTTATTTTTGTACCTGACTTGTTCCATTTTCTGCTTAATATAAGAATATACAATTTTTTATGAAGTAAAAGATTTCATCATAAAATACGGGATATATATTTCACTTCGATTTACTAAACGGATTTCGGTACTGTTGTCGACATGCTGTCAAATCACTCAAAACGAGCGAAAACCTTTCCAAGTCCGAAGGAGAAGGCTCTCTCATAACACTTTTCTCTCCGCTTCCATTACCAAAATATGTGAAAGGGATTCGTTCTAAATAAAGTTTATCAAGTAACCAGTGCAATAATTTGAGTATGATGTAATATTTTTTTATGGCATGTTATCTTTTAAATAAAAATTTGGTAAATTCATTAATGTCAATTCAGCAATTTTTATGCATAGTGAACGAATTAAACATGTCAAAACTGAAAGAATGCGAAATTTGTTGTGATCTCAAAAACAAATTTGACTTATTTTTCTCAAGAAACAAATAACTTCAACGCAAATTTCCATGGTTCATTTGGAAGATCTATTGGGAAATGTCAACATTAAACGAGATCTTCCGGAATGAGTGGAATCACTGAGAGTTAATAGAACCTCTCAAGCACTCCTTAACTGAGCAAATGTGGTGGGACATCGGTTTATGCACCCAATTTTGAATGTTTAAGA